GCCCACACATACACACACACACACACACACACACACACACACACACACACACACACACACACACACACACACAGGTGAATGAGCAACAGGAAAAAGGAAACTTTTTGGGGTTCGGCTCAGACTGAGGAGCTCTGAGGAAATAAACTTTCTCGCGTATACCTCGGTGGATTTCCCAGCAAAGAGAAATGTCGCTTCATATTATAGTTTGTCACAACCACCTTGGAGCAAATGGAATTTATTATCACATTTCAGCATAAACAAAGGCGCCGTGCTGTTGGAAAATGAAATGAAGACTTGTGTACATATTAAAAGAGGGAACCGTTATTAAACGGGAGTTTTGAGTTGTTCTTGAAATGCTTGACTGAATCTGACATGGACTGAAAATAGGTCGAGGGCGTGAAACGCTGTCAGCAACACATGTGACCGGGAACGAGCCAAATTGTCCTCACGTTTACTCTGGATGCTGAGCAGCCTGCTTATCAGGCACAATTAAAACATGAAACCAGCCAAAGTCTGTTTTAGTCATTTTAGATACTTTGTATCTGACCATCATATGTCTGTTAATTATCAAACTTGACAAGTCTTATTGAATGTATTTAATTTTCTTTGTAATTCATTGAATTTAAATGTATATTTTAATTAATCAGAGCCAAACATCTCCACAATTGACTTTCAGCTATTCAGCTTTCTATTTCTAATATTCTGGAGATTACTTGGATCCTATCTAAAAGCTGGGCTAATATCTGTAACATACAAGGATGACAGTATTTTCTGATTTATGAAGAAACATAAATAAGTGTCCCAAATGCCCTCAGTAAAAACTTTTGACTCCAATTTGCCAAAATTGTTCAATAATTGCTCATTTTGATGGTTAAACTTAAAATTTTGAGAAACTTTTGGGAATATTTGTAAGGTTTGGTGGAGGATTGGAGCCAAAACAGACTCTAGAACTCGAAGATTAAACTAAAAAACTTTAACAAACAAAACAAAAAGGCTGACATGGCAGTGTAACAAAACTAACAGGATCATACAGATGAGCACAGGGAAACTTGCAAAGACGTAAAACACAAACCTGATAAAACCAGATAATGCAGAATGGTGGAACAGACTGAATAAACAGAACAGAGGTCAGTGGAAGATGGAAACACCTGGAAGATTGTTGATTAGGGACAGGTGAGGTTGGTAGACTAACTGGAAAATACTGAGAACGCTGACTGAGAGTAACAGAAACAATACATAAGAATACTAAGTAAACCTAATAATGAAGTAAAAACACAGAATGGATAAAGATAGACTGACAACAAAACGCCACAGAACCCACAAGACCAAAAAATAAAACCTAAACCACGAAGTAAATAAGCGTAAGACAAGGAAGTAAATATAAAATAAATATAATATTCACTACATGTGAATAAAGTTTTATAATGCAGGGTCCTTGATTCCTGCTGAATACATGGTGAATGTATGAAACTGTCAACGCTGAATCCCTGAAAGAATAAACAAGACGGGGATAAAGAACAAAAAAATACAAAATTAAAGTAAAAATTTACAAAACCTGAGCTGAACATATTTTTATGCGACTCTCCTAAATGTGTCCTTGAAACATGAACAAACTACAACATTCTTGGACCTTTTTGTTGTAGTTCATGTTTAAAGTTTCTTAAATTGATAGCAATTGATTTTTATTTTTATTTTTTTTGTCTCCAATCAGTCACAATTTAATTTCACAGTCTCATTTGATACTTTCTGATTCAGAGAAGTTAAACTGAGAACAGTTAGCTGGATGACTGTGACGACTCTATTTTGGAACATCCATCCATCTCTTCCTGCTTCTTCCTTTCCAGGTTGCTGGGGTCACTGGTGCCCAGTGGGAGACTTGATTCTTGGTGTCTTGAATTTCATCCTGAACAATTTGAGACCTGGAGGTTCCCTCCATGATCAGATACACCATGCTGGACATGAACTCCTTTCAAAAGTGTTTCTATTGTCAGAACGTTTTTAGTTTTTGAATTGTTCTCAAAATGTCCACAGAAATGGACAAACTACAAATGAACGTGTTCCAAAACTAAAAAGACATTTGTGTTTATGTGCAGATTAGAACAAGTAACGGTGCGCTCGTGCGCTTTTAATTGTGTTGTTCGTGTTTTGGGGGTTGCCGCGCGCTCCAGCTGACACTTTGGAGAGGCTAGAACCGCACGCGCTTGAAGTCCAGAAGTGGGCGGGGTGGAGGGGAGGGGGGTTGGGGTGGGGGGGTCTCAGATTCTCAGACAGCCACCGGATCAGATTTGTTTCCAAACGCGCACCCGCGGCTGCGTGAGGCGTTTGCGTGCGGTGGGAACGCTGTGGATTTGTGCGTTTTGCGTCGTGTTTCCAGCAGCAGGACCTGAACAGAACCATGGATTACAGCCTCCGTGTTCTGGTTCTGCTGAGCGTGTGGTCCGTGTCGACAGGACTCTTCCCAACAGCCCCGGTGTGAGTACAGCCTCACAACAGCCTGTTGGCTCGTGCTCGACTGAGCGCATGACTTTTGTTTCTGTGTAAAACACGCGATGTTTGTCTCGTTTTGAAGCGTTCAACTGGAGGAGGAGGAATGATGTTAGGTGAAACTTTGACTCTGAAAGCTGAGATGAAGCTACTTCTGCTCAGCTGCAGCTCTAGCTGGCAACACAGACACTTAACTTTCTCCAAGACGCGCCTCATGTTCTTAATGGAAATGAACTGAAAGGATGAAGGCTGGCAATAATGCGTTGTCTGTATGTCTGTTGGCAAAATATCTCATGGACCAGAATTAACAAATATATATATTTGAGGACGTTATTGGATGCTCTTCTACAACTAATTAACTTCTGGAGCCAACTCCATTCAGGATGGCACAGCTGACATTAGAAGACACAGAGTGGGATTAATTTAATCAGATTTTTAGCTAAAATTTGGTAGTAGCTGAGAGTCATTCACAAGACATACTCTGAGTGCTGCTCATTCTGCAACATGTTAGCAAAATATCTCATGGACATGACATATTTTATAGAAATTTTCAGGAAGTAACCACTAAAAGTGGTTAACATTTGGTGCCAGTCCAATTCAAGATGGCCTCCACAGCTACCTGATATTAGCCAACAGAAAAATGACTGTGACTCAGTCTACGTTACAAATATTGAGTCAATACTACAATATTAGCCGAGTGCTGTTCTCGATATAACAAATGTTTTATAACATAATTTACAAAAATTTAACAAAATCAGCCATAAGTCTAAAATCTTAGTCAAAACCTTTCTGCAGGGATATGTTGGGTCTTTAATATCTTTATATTTTGTCGTTACTTAGAGTATATAATTTGTGCATAACCATTCCTAAACCATGTTCTGGTGCCCCTCCTTTTTGCAAAGACTTGTTAACCAGCTGCTGTGAGCTGGGCAGGATATAAATAATTTATCTTACATTTTATTTATATGCAGGAATGGAGCTTTGACTCTTGTTTGAGGTGAAAACTGTCTGCTCGTTCATCAAACTCTAAAGTCGTGTTACAGAGTTTGTTCACTCCATCTAAATGTGGCTGCTGGATCCAGCCACAATCTGAGGATGCTGTCTTAATTAAAGGCACCTCGCACCTAAATCAACAGGTCAGACGTTCCTGCCGGTTCTAACAGAGCCCTCAGACGGCAGGGTTTGGTTTTAAACGCAGCTTAAGTCTGGTCCCAGAGGTGGTGGTGAGCCATGATGGCACTTAGCCTAATGAGCGAGCACGATGATGTCAGACTAGCAGAGCGGCCGGTCCACTCCCCATATTTCATGGGCACTAAGTGGATTGATCTGTGGGTTGTGTACATAAAATTCACACAGTGAGCTGCACCCCTGATGCAGACGGTTTGTAAATGAGGAACGCTCAAATCGGGAAAGAATTCAGTTCATCCATGTTTATAAGTGCACACTTTGTAGCTGATTCTTTTAAGAAAAATCGTTCTTTCTTTGTCTCGTCGCCTTGCTGGCTGTTTCCTGTCCATCCTCTGTCCGTCTCTCCATCTTTGTTGCCCAAAGACAACTGATTGACATCAAATCTAATATGCAACATCTAATGTCAGATCGTTCCCCAGAGAGCTCCACCCAGAACACAAGGAGGATTTAAATGGGAAAGGGGATCATAAAACACTAACTGATGGGCTGTTTAAAATGTAAACTCTTCTATATCTTTTTAACCGTCTGTCTTTTTGGACACAGACATTTTTCCCTCCATTCAGCCCCTCAATACGTCTTTGATTAGGCTTCTTTCTTTCCCTTGCTGTTTTTCTTTAAGATAACTAGATTTCATGCTTAATGAGCTTAAGGGTCATAGTTCTTGTTTGTGGCTTCATCTCTGCTGATCAGTGGGCGTACAGCTCTTCACATAGCAAGCATAACTGCATCTGGAGAATATGATGAAGATTAGTAACTTTAAAAAATCCTTCCAAAAACATGATCTACTGGTAATTAAAGGAATGCATTATCATCATCCACCTTTCCCACTACTCCAAACTTTAGCTTCATTTCAATACAGTTGATTCAGTTGTAGCCACTATTGTGTGTGTGTGTGTGTGTGTGTGTGTGTGTGTTTTTAGGTCATTTGGCTGTGGCATTCATCTTGAATCAGTTGTAGCCGTACATCCAGTGATTACTTTGAATTTAATAAAAATTTGTCAAGTGGTTCATGAGAATTAGACGACAAATACTTATGCGAACAAAAACATTATTGCCTGAATTTCAGGAGCAGGTGATCCACCCAGAACACCACACATTAATACTATTAGGCTGCTTTTTGTAGAGACAAATCTGCGGATGCATGATATTGGATTTTTGGCTGATATCCGATATGCCAAAATATTTGGCCGATACCAATACCATTTTTTTTTTCCTAGACCTACTATTTACTTACTACATAGCTTTCTCTGCTGTAGAATTAAAATACTACATTATTCTGCATGGCCTTTGTCAATTTGGCCTGCTACTAAATGCAGATGCCAAATACAGGGTCCTGGTTACACCCAACAAAAATATAAATTGTAAAGAAAAACATTAAGATCTAAAATATGAACTAAGAACTATGCTAAACTAAGGTTAAAAAATAAATAAATAATTATATATATATGTATATATATATACATATATATACATATATACATATATACATATATATATATATATATATATATATATATATACATACATACATATCATCTTTTTGTATCGGTGAGTTATTTTAATGGAACGTCCGATGTCCGATATTTAATTTTATCGCTAATATCGGCCGATACCAATACTTTGCCGATAATATTGTGCATCCCTAGATAAATCAATACTAAAGGATGTAACAGGAAAAAAAAAACTCATACGCCATGTCAGGCAGCAATCACAGTTGAATACTCATGATGTGAATTAAAAGTTGCTTTGTTGTTAAGAAAACTTTTTTTTTCCTGTTTGTTTTTTTTGTGAACTTATTGCAGGAGGATTTGAACCAGAAAATACATCCATATTCTGTAAAAAAAAAAAAAAATGCTAGTAATTGTTGGATAGTTTTTTCTTTGATTATATATTTTCTTTTATTTTGGTAAATATGAAAAGGCTTGACTGTGGTGTGTGTTTTCAATCAGATCACAGAGTCACTGACTCTCAGAAGTTGAGAAAGGACTGACAGTGTCTCATCAAATGGAAGTCGGATTAAACCACTTCATCTTTTGTTGAATCAGAAAGTTAATGCAGAGGTGTGAGCAGGATGGATGAAATGTAACGAGCAGTCGTCTCTGCGCTGCTCGGAGTTTCCTCGGCTGTGATTTGTGCCTCCTGGCCATAAGGGAGTTGGTGTAAGCACATATATTTCAGGAAGCGTCGAGCAGCTGACGGCCTGAGCAGTATCTGTTACACATGCAGGGCCGTAAAACCTGCCGATAATGTTTGCTCTTTAATCTTTGTTTTTATTCACTCTCTCCGTTTCAGTTTCTTTTTATCCTCCTCGCATGCGTCCCTCGATTTCTCTCATTCACATGAACTCTTCCTCTGTTTCTCATCCATTCACTCCCCCTCCAACCTATTCTCAGGGCTGGCTATATTTAGGCAGGTCTCTCTGTTAGGGGAGGGGGCGCTGCGTGTCCTGACTCAGACATGGAGGGGTGTACAGTGGCAGAGGACTAAACTTTTTGCCCATATGTGTAGTCAGGAGTGTTGCTGTTGAGTCTGTGAAGTTTCCCACCTTCAGCTTCAAAACACACTCAAAGTTGCACATGCTCATGGAAGTTTGTAGGAAACCATTACTCCAGCACGGCTTTATTTTCTTGGGAATCTTTTACCACATGGAAATTCCCAAGAATTTTCCATTGCACCGTTTCCCTGGCAACCTTGGGAATCGCTAACAGCTGTGTTAAATGGGAGCTGTTTGGTACAGGAAGCAGATGTATACTGAGATATAACGTGTGTGTGTGTGTTTGCTGTCAAGGGCACATCCTAATTATATGAAGAGGTTGAAGTGTAAAATGTCTGTGTCGAAGCACCACAAGCTCCCCTGATGTGTTATGTTTTGAAAGATGGCCACAAAGTGAAGCCAGTGGTGGTTTCCTTTGAGCAGCCTGATCGAGTTTTATTGAGACATAAGAGCTGTTATTACGGGTGTTCAGCAACACTGGACACAGTGGTTCTGTGTAACTGGTCCTCAGCACTGATAGGAGACAGCCTGGGTAGGTGACATGATTGATGGTAATAGGACATACTGGCCAGCGACTTGCATTCTGACATCTTTGTACTTTGTACACAAGACTGTGTCTGCAACTGAAGCTGTAAGGTAGCTTTGATGTATGGATGGATGAGTCGAGGTTTGCTCAGGAAGTGTGAAGGTGACGGCCGGTTGGGGAGGTTTAGTTGATTGAGCAGAGTTCTCAAGGCTTGAAGAGATTCTGACGGCTGGAAGGAGGGATGAGCAAAAACAAAATCAAATCAGATATGTCGTCTTTCAGACTCCTTTAAGCAAATGATCACCTTTACTAAGAACTATTTTAATCATTTACCTTAGCAGGATTTGATACACAACTTTGTGTGGCTGCAATCTTACTCATAATAGCAAATGACATATCTGTGAATATAACGCAAACACACACAGTCGTCACAACAGTTCTGTTTTGTCTAAATCGATGTGTCCAGACATCTGAGGAGAGTTGCAACAAACTGGATTTGTTAGTGGTTTGGTGGAAGATGGAGGTTTGTTACAGTTAGTTGGCTCAGAATGTGATGTCACATGTACAAAATGCATTTAACCCCCACAAATCTTCCATGGATGGCAGCACGGTAGAGCTGCCACCTCTCAGCGAGCAGGTCGCCCGGTTCAAATCCTGGCTGGGGGTCTTTCTGGGTGGAGTTTGCATGTTCTCTCTGTGTATGTGTGGGTTTTCCCCAGGTGCTCCAGTTTCCTCCCACAGACCAAAAACATGCATGTTAGACTGATTGGTAACTCTAAA